ACTTTTTTCAAAAAATCAATAATCAATTTGATTTTAACCAAACTTCTCCACTTCTTCCGTAAAATATATACATTTTGTTAAGACTGAACTGATTACGAAAAGACTAGATCCTAGGTGACGAACAACAAAACAGATACTCTGATCTTGATCTAGAATAACTGAACATATAACTGTAAAGGTTTTTGTCTCTACTTTCTCATAAATAATAGTAATTTCATAACAATTTAAACATTATCAGGTTTTTAGTGCCCTCTAAAGGAAATCGTATTTCAAAAAACCGAAATGACTCTGTCCAGTTGCTCCTTTTTTGTTTAGATAGAATTTTATTTGTTTAAAATCCCTCTCTGAGGCTTAGGAGTAACAAAAAGGAATTCCTGCCACCACTCCGAAGCTAAAAGGTTCTTGTTATTTCTTTGACAACCCAAACGATTTATTTAATGGAATATACATAGTTGCTCTCATAATGTAGAATAATTTGAGTCAATTTTGCAGGAAGATTACTGATTTTTCGTTTCGTATAGAATGGGAGGAAAGGTATTTCTTAGCGCCTCTGATTTGAGCGTACCTTATGAGCGAGCATCATGTTTCAGCGGATTTCTGTTTGTTGTCAACACACCTTAAGTTTTGCAGTAATCAGTTAAAATTTAGGCTTACTGACGTTTGTAAATGTTGAACAGTATGATTTTATTCATTATTAATATTTAAAGAATAATTATAAATTTATGGTGTCTCACAAAATAGTTGTGCGTATCTGTGTGTGTTTCTCCGGAAAAAATAGAAAAATGGCCGTCAGATAGTCCATGAGCGAGCCAATCATAAGAGAAAAGAAATAAAAGAAATGGTAATTTCATTATATTCTGAAGACATGTATGTAGAAGAAAACTAAGAAAAAGTCAGACATCATTATTACTTTTAATTTACCAGATAAACAGGCGAAGCTGCTAAAGCCAATTATTCATCGAAGAAACTATACCAGGATACATAATTAACTTTCAATCGTCTATGAACAGTTACTCTAGGAGGCTTGGGGTTTTCAGAAAGCTTTTGGAGTTCTACCAATTTCTGAGTTGTGTGTGAAACGACGGATTGTTTTAACACATCTCCTAGCAAGGATCAGCAGGATACCTGAGGATCACCTGGAGGTCTTCAGAGAATTTCTTCAGTGTTGGATTCAGTGGTGTAACTGGGCCGGTCCGGTGTACAAGTTCAGACCGGCCGGTCTAGAAAGATTTTCACTCCTAAGGCTTAAAGGTCTTGTGAGATCTTGTTCCAAGAAAAATCTGACGAAATCTATACAAAAATTTTGCCGGCATCTTTTGAGAAATCTTGTGAGTTCTTGAAATGTGATCTTGCAAGTTCTTTTCAGATCATTTTTCTAGATTCTTCGCATTGCTGGGCGTGTTTAGGGCTCCCCGTCAGACAGAGGGGGGCAAGTCCAAGTCCGAACTTGAAGGTTTTTTCGGTGGAGCTGGACTTGACTTGGACTTGGAAATAGCCGTACTTGCCACACAAGTTCAAGTCCGGACGTGTAGGTTTTTTTGTTAGATTTGGACTTGGAAATGGCCGGATTTGCCCATCTCTGTCGTCGGACGTACAAATTCTTTTATAAAAACTCGATATTAAACTAAGCATATCATTGGATAGCCCATTGTATCTACTATCAGGATCCATAGGTATTTGGTCCTTATCAAAGTGGTATAAAGGTTTTTCGAAAGGTTTTCTGAAAGGCAGAAAAACTGACTTTTTCAGGAACTGTACTTCCTCGACAAAAAAATATCTAAAAATAGTTTTAATGATCTAGAATGTAGAGAAGACATATCTGATAAAAATTAGACGTCCACCAGCTTTAAGTGATGTTCTAATCAAACATTAGGGTTTTGAGCAAAATTTCAGCTCGAACCGTTGGAGAGGTACAAAGTACAGGGGGAAAAACGCCTCTCAGCAGAATTACTCCTTTTCCTAGATGATTCAGCGCAACACCTTATTGTTTTGCTTTGTATCTATGGTTTTTATTTAAAAATGATCCGCGAAGATTTTCAAAATTCGTTTCCGTTCATTTTCTACACACGTTTTAGGTCAAAGTCCCGAATTAAGGTAGTAATTTGCAATTTTCTCGGTCAGAAAGAATTTTAGAATCACGCAATTTTTAGATAAAGATCATAGATACAAAAAAAAATTAAGGGTCTTAATATACTGAAGGGTCACACTAAGCCTAATATAAGTAAAGAACGTTCAAAGGTATCACGTTTATTAAAAGCACAATCATTCGCATAGGAATTAATTACTATACTTCAACAACACTATGTACCAGCACAACATGACTTAGAATGTTTACGAGCTGGTACAAATACTAGAGAAAAAATATGAAATATTACATTTCGACCGAACTGTTCAACATATAGCTGATGGTTTTAATTTAGGTTTAACACAGCTTAAAGGCTCTAGGGTCGGGTCGGACTGAACATTTTGCGGCGCAATTTAAAATATCGATAATAATTTCAATTTTATATTACTCGTTGAAAGTTATCTCTACTGGAATTACCAGTTGAAATGCTTATTTAGAACAACCGCATTCACTAACGAGGGAAGATCTTCAGATACCCAACTCCGTTTTTAATGATATTATGTCAGTTAATAAAGGAAAATGAGCTGATAAAAACCCTAAAAAGAGGACCCATATTAGTTCTTTCAAAAGTTACGAAAGCGTTTTTGTTTTAAAGAGACACTGTGTGTAGTAACAGTAATAATTCTGTAACCCAGTGAAAACAAAGAATTAAGAGCTGAAATTGTCTTTTATACTTTTGCTAATAGTCTGCTGATATTACAGAAAATTTGAGCGTTACATCTTTCTAAATTCGCTAGTTATTGAACTTTTCTTCTTGAAGGAAAACAATGTTTTTCCAAACCATACAATTTTTAACATGATAACATTTCTTTTTTATGTTATTCTTTTTTGTGTTATTGCGTGCATTTTTTCCTGCTGAATGTTTTTTTGCTGCACAATGTTAGATGCCCAAGTCACAACTCTTAGAAGCATATATAATAGTCAAGAATTTTCAGACTACTGCCAAAATTTCAGCTGGTTGAATATTTTCCAAGCTATTTCTTAATAGAACTTTGTGGAAACTTGGTTAATATCTCCTTTGGTAGAGAATTGAACGAGCTATCGAATGAAAATTCTAGAATGACTTTGAAACCCGTTAGGTTTTCTGGAAAACCGAGCTTTTTAGAAGTCCCTATCACAAGATCCTGAGATGATGCCTCAATCTTCATTAAACATTTGGATAGAACTCGACGTGATATTTCGTTTGAGACTAGACTCAAGGTTCTGCGTTAGAGAATGTGGCTTCGGCAGCAGATTTACAAGTTAGATAAAATATGCTTGAAAACAGCGAAAAATGCTCATTTCCGCTGGATAATTCCGTTGACTAATTTATACATAACTTTTTTTCCTAGTGATATAAAGATCTGCGATTTTCGCCATTGGATTCAGCATACAAAACTGCTTCAGATTATGTGTGTCTTGTTGCTGGTGCCAAAAGTCGATGTAATGGTGGTAGGTATCATATGGATTAAGCCTTCTTCAGTACTGAAGATCTATCGCTAGCATTTCTCTAGATGCTGATCAATACACTTACGGATTATAATTAGTAAACTTCTATGATCTAACGTAATTTTATCCGTAGATCACAAATTTGTTAATTATTCTTTGTACAAATAAATACTAACTAAAGAAATTACACTAACGGCCCAAAAACGTAGCCAAAACGACACTGAAAAACATTAGAAGGGTTTCTTTTAAACAACGGTTTTTAATAGAGTGAACATTGGAAATTATTACCATATACTTCGTTCAGATTTCTACTGTTGCTGCACGCAGAAAAACTTCAGTCTTTTTGTCGGAGCTCTTATTGATGCTGCTAAATTAAGAGCTGAAACATTCTAATGGTCATAGCTAGATGGCGCACTCTCTTCCCTATCGATCCATATCAAAAGGTCATTTAATGGACATATGACTGTTGAAAAGAAAATTTTTTTCTAATGGGTTCCCTGAGACCTCAAAAGGCAACGATACTATATTTTGGCTATAACCGTTTAAAGAAAGATCTGACAAAAGCTCATCATTTCAGATTTTCTTATTAATAATAAGGCTAACAAAAAGGCATATTCGGGAATTAAATCTCAGAAAGTCACGGGCTAACCTGCCCGAAACTACCGCTAACTAACGCTTCGGGGTTTCGTAGGATTTCGTTCAACCATTTTAGGTTTCGTAGACCAAAAGGTTTTGACATTTGGAACGAATTCGAAACCTCAAGCAGAAAAAGGTTTCGTAAGAAACTATTTTTTTTAGTGCGTATTCCATACATAAATGAAAAAAATTAGTGAATTTTCTGAAAATCACATTTTTTTAACTTTGAAATTTTGGCAAAATCCTACGTTTGTTCAGTTTTTTAAACTCTATCCAATGATGTTTTAAACAGAAGTATAGTTTCTTACTGAGAGCTGTTTTTTTTCAAAATTTTTTCAAAATGAAAAAGCCCAAATTTTTAATTCTTAATTCAAAACCAATATCAAATGTTTTATCAAAAAAATTCTTTTTAAAATAATCGCTATTTCGCGTATGATTTACTAAAGTTTTAGCTCTTTAGCGTTTTCTTGTGCGAAATTTTCTCCGTTTTGTAGTAACAACTTGTGTATCTATTTCAGAAGCCCACGTATAAGGAACTGATCCTTTTGTATTTGTCAAATGTGTAAATTAATACTTTCATATTCAAATTATGAAAAAGATATTACTGGGCACTTCAAAGTAAACAAACATAAACAAAAAATACTTTATAGTATAAAATTTCAAGATGAAATACGACATACTAATGATACTTACGAGTTAAATAATATTGAATTTAGATAATTAGTTAACATTTATCAACTCGTTTATACAAATTTGAAAAATATTCCAGCAATCGAGAAATAAAAAATGAACCATAGAAAATTTTATTTATTTATAATGCTTCTGGTGTTTGTATAACAATCATTATGTATTTGCTTTCAGGTGCAACAATAATTTCATGTTTTAATGAACGTAATCCTATAGTAGAAACGAAATTATTGACATATTATCTTGTCTTGAGACAAACATGTCTTACTTAGTTGTTCTAATTCTTGATTTGGATCAAGTTCACGAATTAAACGTTTTGCTTGAACAGTTAGTTGACTAATCAGAGAGGCGTAGTGCAATGTTGATCTAGTAACAATTCAGATATATTAGCAACATTATCCATAACGCGTGGATAACATGTTCATATAGCATATTGATTTAATTAATATTTGCTGTTTAATTTTCTCAGAAACTAGTCAGCTAAAATATGTTAATACTTACGCATTATCCATGCTTGTTCGAATCGGAATTCCATCCGAATCAACAATTAATAGTCCTAAATATTTGAGAAAAATAATTATCGAATCTTCGTAGAAGAATCGTCTACTCTCATTAGTCTGACGAGGGAACATTCCCAGGTGCCCCGCTCTGATTTCGTTCGTTCATGCATCATTCGATAGGGGGTCTCGAGTAGATAAAAAGCCTAAAAGGATATCGGCTGACGACTCTTTAAGACCCGGTTTTCTGGAAAACCAGTTTTTCAGAAACTCTAATAGAATAACCAAAACCTTTGTTAATGAGACATAATTGTAGCCCGCGAAATTCTCATAAAAATGAGACATCTCCCAGCTCTACATGACCTTTCTTT